CAGCTGCTCAATTTTTGTCACCATTTATTCAGTTATGGCAGGGTTGAGGTCTCTGCTCTTGTTTCAATTTTATCAGAGAGCACAAGTCTCCCCAGAGGCCCCCAGAAAATGTCTACTTATATTTCACTTCCCAGAACTGGGTCACCAAACCTCTTCCATCTGCAAGATAGGCGAGGAGAACGAGGGTTAAACTTCTCTGTGGGAGTGGAAGTGGGGGTCGCAGGAAGGGTGGGCAAGCCCAGCAGGTCTGCTGTCAGTTCTCACCTCATCTTGCTGTCTCCTTTAATTAGGACTGAGTCTGGGTCAAACTTGAACCACTCAAGTCCTGGCCTCCCTGGATCAGTAGAATACTGGGGGACATGGTGCCCAGTCACAGCAAAGGCAGACCAGGGCTGGAAGCTAGCCCTGGGCCTCACAGTACCTGCTTTCGTGCCCTGACTAGGTTCCAGCCTGGTCACCACCGTGTGCCGCAAGATCACAGGCCAGCTCACCAGGGCCGTCGCCCAGCAGAAGGATGTGGGTGTGCAGCTAGAAGCCTTGGACATTCTCTCTGACATGCTGAGCAGGTATGGCGCCACCCTAGGCAGTGAGAAGGGGAGTGGAGGGGAGGGAAGGGAGGGACTCAGATCCACAGACCTGCTCTTACTGCAGGGCTCTCCCGACCCTGTGGAAGAATAACTCGGTTGTCACAATTTTGCCGGCTCCCAGAGGTGAGTGGCTTGCCCAAGGCCACACTGTCAGTAAATGGCAAAACCTAGGATTTGAACTCAAGTCTCTCCGTAGCTGTCCCCCATGGCTATTTGTCCTTTCTCCCACTCGGTCTTCCTCTCTTGTTCTTTTGGGCTGCTGTATCTAAGCTTCTGTTTTAAATGGAGTTCCCTGGGTGGCACACAGAGTTCGTTCTTGATTACAAGCCCACAGGCTGGATCCGAACTCGCCCGGAGGTGCTGCAAAGAAAGGCACCCTGTGTCAGAGTGGATGGCAATTGGTTTGGGTTTTTGTTTTGTTTTAAATTACACTGCACTAAATTTAAATTTTTTACTTTAATATTGAAGGCTAAGTAAAAAATTTGTTCATGAAAAACTTCAATTTAGCACCTGCACTGAGCTGTACGTGTTTTGTGCAGACAAGTGAGATTTATATAGACTAACATTATTATCCTAACCGCCAGAGCAGGTAGTCGCCCAGTTCTAGAAAGCATCAGACTCTTTGAAAAGCAGATACACTACACCTGATAAAGCAATATCCCACAAGTACAGGACACATTTTTAAAGCATTCATCCAGCCAAGCTCCTGACTCAGGAGCACTTCCTCAGTGATCAGGTACCTGAGAGGTGTGAACTTGTGTGGAGCAGATAGACTTAGGAGTTCAGAGACAAAAGGAAGAAATGAGAAAACTGATAACTACAAAGCCTTGGTGGTGCTGTGGGTTAGGCATTGGGCCGCTGACAAGTGGTTCAATCCCACGGTCACTGGGAGGGAGAAAGATGAGATTGTGCCTTCGTAAATAGTGACCACTTTGGAAACCCTATGTAGGGTCACTATGAGCCAGGATTGACACCCTGGCAGTGGGTTGGGTAGGTGGGTGTAGAAAGTACAACAAGCCTAGCAGTAGGACCCACAGGAGCTCCTAGGGGGGACTTATGACCCAGCTGGGAACCTTCCAAGAGGGGGTCCTAGGAGACCTGATCCTTTAAGAATGTGAGGGATAGGTTTGGCGAGTCTCGGGGGATGCCTGAGAGACACTGCTCCAAGCCACAGGCAGGAAAGCACATGGGGTTACAGGAGTTCTGCAAGGTGGTCGTGGAGCAGGGCTATGAAGTGAGGGAATGGTATGGCGAGGTGAGGCCACAGGATTGGGCAGGAGCCAATGAGAACTGGGGCTGTAAAGGGGATCCTGAAGGGGTGAGCAGCCAGTGGAGGCTGTGCACACATTTCGGTGTTGGGACTGTGGGGAACAGCGGGAGGGCACTGGCTGGGCAAGGAGATGCACTGGGAGGCGTCTGAAAACAGGGTATCTGTGGAAGCTGGCCTCCACAGGGCTTGAAGGAGTGTGAAAGGTAGAGACGACCATGCGGACACCAGGACCTGGCTTTCGTAATGAGGGACAGACAGGTGCCGTTGGCTGTGGGAGCAATGTGTGAGGAGGGAGACAGACTCAGTTGGACATGTGACCTTGAGGCATCTGGGAGGCATCCCTCACTGGGGATGCCTCAGGGCCAGTCTGTCTTGCTCACCTTGGCTTCCAGCAGAGACGCTGTCACACAGTATGTCAGGAAACAACTGAAACCAGGAGCCGGGTCAGGGCTGGGCACAGCGCTATGGGAGGGAGATGTCAGTGAGGTGATGTGGAGTGAGGAAAGGTCTTGGGACATCAATGGGGCAGATGTGGTGCTGTGGCAGACAGGGGGCGCTACGTATCTGTGCAGAAGCCATTCCCTGGCGTCATCTTGAACCCAGAGCTTAGCTCATTCAGAGAGACTGGGAACCATGGAAAGGGTTAAGCCAGTGGTTCTCAACCTTCCTAAGGCTGTGGCCCTTTCATACAGTTCCTCCTGTGGTGGTGACCCCCCCAACCATAAAATTATTTTTGTTCCTACTTCATCACTGTCATTTTGCTACTGTGATGAATCAGGCGACCCCTGTGAAAGGGTCGTTCGACCCCCAAAGGGGTTGCGACCCACAGGTTGAGAACCGCTGGGTTAAGCAAAGCAGTGAACAGGTAAAGGTAGATTTTATACCCATGCCTCCATCACCAGCTGCTCTGCAGGAGGAAGATGAGGCGTTTCTGCTCCTTTAAAGATGTCCAGCCTCAGACACCCACAGGGGCCGTTCTTTTTTATCATGTAGGGTTGAGTAGGAACAGATTCCAAGGCAGTGAGTTTTTAAGCATAGAGGGGATGGAGCTGGGGGAGCTCAGAGGCAAGCCCCAGACTTCCCACCAGGACTCCCCACACCATCCCTAATGGGCTTCTCCCAGACTGAGAGCCTGAATACCTGGGTTCAAATTCTGGTCTAGCATTTCCTGGGTGGGAACCCAGAGGTAGGTCCATTTCCTTCTCTGCTTTCCTCTCATCGTAACTACACCAACTCTCTGCTGTCAAATCGCCCCATAGCGACTCTATAGGACAGGATAGAACTGCCCCTGTGGGTTTCCAAGACTAACTTTTTTTTTTTTAATTGGGGGCTCATACAACTCATCACAATCCATACATACATCAATTGTATAAAGCACATTTGTACATTTGTTACCCTCATTATTCTTTTTTTAAATTATTTTATTGAGGGCTCGCACATTTCTTATCACAGTCCATACATACATCCATTGAGTCAAGCACCTATGTACACCTGTTGCCCTCATCAACCTCAAAACATTTGCCCTCTACTTTAGCCCTCAATATCGTTTGCTCCTTTTCCCCCTCCCTCTCCCCTCCCCTCTCCCCCCTGCCCCAGAGACTAACTTTTTATGGGAGAAGAGAACCTGGTCTATCTCCCTTCCGGACACAGTAGAAATAATACTCATTCCTCACAGTTGCAGGCATCTTTCAGTTTTCCAAAGGCCATCCTTTGCCATAACTGCAGGGAGAAGGCCAGGTGAGGATGCAGGGAGGCCGTTGCGGTGGCCGGCCTGACCGAGCGCCCTTCCCTGGGTTCCCACAGGCTGGCCGCTCCCCTGGGCACCTTCCACGCCAGCCTCCTGCACTGCCTGCTGCCACAGCTGAGCAGCCCGCGCCTGGCCGTGCGCAAGCGGGCCGTTGGGGCGCTCGGCCACCTGGCAGCCGCCTGCAGCACCAACCTCTTCGCTGAGCTCGCCGATCACCTGCTGGGCCGGCTGACCGGTCAGCGCGAGCCCGCCAACCCCGCCACCATCCTCACCCTGATGCAGTGTGTGGGCAGCATAGGCCGCCAGGCCGGCCACCGCCTCGGTAAGGGGGTGGTGCTCTCGGCGGGGGGCGGAGCCGAAGCTGAGAGGCGGGGCGGGGCGGGGCGCTTTACTAAGTGGGCTTGGCGAAAGAAGGTGGGCTGTCCCAAGAGCCATAGAGGGAGGTGAGCTGCAGCAAAGGAAAAAGGCCTGCCGGGTTGGGGGCAAGCTCTAAGTGCAGGACGCGGAGGGGAGGTCTTATAGTGACCCCACAGGACTGGGTAGAACTGCCCCTGTGAGTTTCCAAGATTACGGTAACTCTACCGGAGTGGAAAGCCCTGTCTCTCTCCCACGGAGCAGCTGGTGGTTTTGAAGGGCGCATCTTGTGCATCATAGTCCAATGCGTAACCACTACATCACCAGGGCTCCTCTGCCCATGGGCTCGTAACTCTAGTAATAACTCAGGTTGCCAAATTGTTAAATGGGAGTACAGTCTATCCTCGTACTTAGCAAATACGAGTAAGAAAGAATATTGCTAGAGGGGGATTCGGGTCCATAGTTGTACAGGCTTCTTCCAGACAAAATGTGTTTAAACGTGTCTCCGCATTCAGTGGTTGGTTGCAGACAAGTTCTCGTCTCTTGTTAGGGAGCTCTAAGAACAGCTTCAATAAAAATTGACTTCTGGGGGGCGCATCTGCTGGGCCATTTACGTTCATGGCAGAGAGGTCAACTCAGAAGGTTATGGTCATCTTGATAGATTTTCCTGATCACTTAATCAGTGAGTAAAAGTCCAGGAAATGGGTGCCAGGGGATTTCCTTCCATCATAGTGATGCACCCACAGGCTCACTTCTCTTTGGGAGCCAGGGCTGTCCTATGCCCTGACCCCAATTACCATCCGGTCCTGCCCTTGCCCCCTTTAGATTTATCTTTGTTCCCCAAGCTCGAAGCATATTGAAAAGGAACACAATTGCGTTCTTCAATTATACCAACTCTACCATTGTGTAGTGGTGTGAATCGAAAAGTGGAGAGTGGCAGGGAAGGGTTAGAGATGGAAACGCCACCCTCCCAAGCGTATAGACCTGATGTAGGACAGCCTGAGACACAATAGCTTCACATCTTGATGTCTTTGTTCTGTGATTCTATAGCAATGCCTTTTGATGCATCTTCGTGGTATCTGTGTTACTCTGGGTAGACTAGAGAAACAAATCCAGGGAGACGCATATGTGAATAATAAGAAAGAGGTTTATATACAAGAGCAGTTGAATATTGAGAAAACATCCCAACCCAGTCCAGTCCAAGCCCATAAGTCCAATATTAGCCCACATGTCTGATACCGATCTATAAAGTCCACTTCAGACTCATGAAACACATGCAATGATGCCAAATGCAGGGCGATCACAGGCCAGTCTTGTAGATCTAGTGGCGGTGTAAGCATCTCAGCGCTGGCAGGGGTTTCCACGTGGCTTCTCCAGCTAAGGCACTAGCATAGTTCATTGTATCTTGTCAGTAGAGTGTCTTCCAAGGATTGAGGAGAGAGAGAATCTCTCCCGCCTCCAAGGAGGAAAAAATTCAGGATTTCCCAGAATTCTCAGATGGCCATGCCTACACAGAGGCTATGATCTGATTGACAGACTAGACTCCACCCCATTCACTCTTAATCTTCTCAAGTCCCAAATTGACACCAGATTATATAACTACCACAGTATCTTAATAAGAACCCATAAGCCAACTTTGAATGCTGTAAATAACTTTAGTGGGCAATACTTTACATACAATAAGCCGCCCTGTTTAAAAGGTACACTTCCATGGGTTTGACCTTAGCCTGAACTTGTGAAACCACCACCAGAAGGGAGGTACAGAACATTGCCACACTCGGGTCTGTCCACAATCCCTAAACTAGCAATTACCCCTTGGCCACTCTCGGGAGCAGGAAATCAGTCAAGAAGCATGTGCAGAAGCTGGGCGAGGGCTCAGGGCCACTTGGGCAAGAAGCTTGAGGCTCTGAAGTACCCAGATGGAATCTACAAGAGGGAGATCTGGGGCCCCAGGTGAGCCTGACCTCTGACCCTGTGGCCTTCTTGTACTGCAGGATGGGATGTGGATGGAGGTCTCAGGGCTTGGTCTCAGGGCGGTACTGCCTGCCTCTCCTCCTGTCCAGGATCTTACAACCTAGTGCAGGAAATCCAGCGAAGACATTAATAATCTCAACTGGGACAGCTACTCATAGAGTGCCTATTGTGTGCCAGAGCCTGGCCTACATTATATCATTCACCGAAATAACGTTCTCGTACTCACTGTGAAGATGAGCAGACTGAGGCTTAGAGAAGTGGAGCCACTTACCGGAGGCCCCTAGCTCAAAGGTGACAGGGTTGAGACTAGAACCCACAGCTACTGGATCCCAAAGTCTTCGGTGGAGGTTTGTAGTCAGGGTGTTTTGACGGGCTGTGGGGTGAGGATCCTAGCTGCCTGGTCTCAGTGTCTTGCTGGCTCTTCAGGTGACTACCTGGACCGCCTGATGCCCCTGGTGGAGGAATTCTGCAATGTGGGGGATGATGCGCTCCGGGAGTCCTGTCTCCAGGCCATAGAGGCCTTCCTGAGGAAGTAGGTGCAGTTCTGTGTCAGAATGGGCCCAGAGGCTTTGTGGGGTGGGGGACAGGGCATCGGCCTCAAAACGGTGGCATCCCAGAGCTCATCCTTGGGCCTCCCCCCAGCCTGCCCCATCTGGGACTAGTGGTTCCTCCTCTGTCCCTTCCGCAGGTGTCCCAAGGAGATGGGTCTTCATGTAGCCAGAGTCACCAGCCTCTGCCTCCAGTACCTGAAGCATGACCCCAACTATAATTATGACAGCGATGGGGATGAGGAACAGATGGAGACAGAGGACAGTGAATTCAGTGAACAAGGTGGGTGGCCAGCTGCCACTAGGACAGAGGGTGGAGGTGGGTGCTGGGCTTCCCAGCTCTGCTCTGGCCTTCAGCCAGATAAGGGCCACGTTTGGTGTCCTCTTCCTGAGCCCATCTCTTCCTCAGCCTCCACCCCTGTCCCCAGGAATCCAGAGCCTCTGAGGGCCCCACCCACCCAGACCACACTGGTAGTGGCATCAGTACTAGTGATGAAGAAAAACAAAACAAAAAGTACCAGTTATCATCCAGCCAAGCCCAATTCCTGGCAACCCTGTGTGGGTCATGGTAGGACTGCGCTCCCAGTGTTTTCCGTGATTCTGGAAGTAGTTAACTGGGCTTTTCCTTGGCAGGGTGCACCCTTGAGGTGCTGGGACTCGGGGAGAGGAAAGAATTAGGGAGGATCTGTCACCTCTTCCTTCTGGGATTCCAGTCACTGAAATATTACACATCAGGTCCTGGAATGAAAGGTTGGGTCTTGTGTTCAAAACAGATTTAAATCTTCCCTAAAGACCCGGGAGTCAAGTTTTCCCTCCGGAGGTAGTTAAAAGAGTTCAGGGTTTGAGAGGGCTTCAAAAAGTCCTGAGCAAAAGAGACTTAAAACATAATAGAATGCTTCCACCCACTTTAGAAGCCCCCGTGTATCATGTCCCCAGGCACTGCCATAACAAAGCTGAAAAGTGGGTGGCTGGCAGTGGCCGCTTCTGGAGCTCAGAGGGCTGCTGCAGGGTGTCGGCAGATGGTGGGCTCCAGAGAGCCCAGGGGAAGACCCGGCCCTTGTGGGAGCCCAAGGCATTCTTTGACTTGTGGCTGCAGCATTGGCTCCATCTCTGCCCCATCATCAAGGAAGCCCTGGTAGTGTAGTGGGCTAAGCCCTAAGCTGTTAACCTCAAGGTCTGTGGCTTGAATCCAGCAGCCACTCCACAGGAGAAAGACGAGGGTCTATTCCTGTGAAGGTGTAAAGCCTCAGAAACCCACAAGGTCAGTTCTACTCTGTCCTGGAGTCGCTATGAGCCAGGATCAACCAGGTGGCAGTGAGCGAGTGAGTGCCCCGTCTTCCCCTGGCTGCCCGCCTCCATCTGTGTGCCTTTTCTCCCTCTCGAGAACACCACTTGAAAAGATCAGGACCCATCGTACTTCAGGATGACCTCGTGTTAACTCATAGCACCTTCAAAGACCCTCTTTCCCAACAAAACTAAAACCATAGGTGCTGGAGGGTGGGACTTCAGCATGTCCTCTGAAGGGGTGGGAGTGGGGCTGGGGACACAAGTTAATCCATAGCAGGTTTGCAGGCCAGAGGACCCTGCTTTAACTCCAAACATGTCCCTGCTGGTGTCACGTGGAGCAAGCCACTGCCTTCTCTAACCGTCAGTCTCTTCATCTCTATCATGGCAGATAATCCTTATCAGGCAAGGTGCATATGAAGCAAAGGTGAGATTGATGTGTGTGTGTGTGTGTGTGTGTGTGGTGCTTGGTGCAGGTGCTCATTAGATGGTAAGCAGTACCGGGTCTCATGGTGCCCGCCTTCCTCCCTCTAGCCCCCTTCCCCTTCCCCTGAGCTCTTCTCTGGGGAAACCTTGGTTCCTGGGGCCCACAGAGAATCCCACAGATTCTCACCTCCTCCCCTCAGAGAGCGAGGACGAGTACAGTGATGATGAGGACGTGAGCTGGAAGGTACGACGGGCAGCGGCCAAGTGCCTGGCAGCCTTGATTGGCTCTCGGCCCGACCTGCTGCCTGACTTCCACTCCACCCTGGCGCCCGCACTCATCCACCGCTTCAAGGAGCACGAGGAGAATGTCAGGGCCGATGTTTTTGTGGCTTACATAGAGCTGCTGCACCAAACGCGGCCCCCGAAAGGATGGCTGGAGTCCCTGGAGGAGCCCACCCAGACAGGCAGCAACCTCCACAGGCTGCAAGGACAGGTACGCCTTGCGTACGCCAGCCCCTTCCCCTGCTCCCCCTCTAGCTGCTCCCCACTCCATCCCTCCCCACTCTGGCCTTGCCACCTTCCCCTTACCCCTTGCCCATCCCTCACTCTGTGCCCAAGCATGTGCTAGATGGGGGGAGGGAGACCTCGCCCTCCTGGGCCCTAGTCCAGGGGACTCAGACAACAGACTGTGGGCCTCCAGGCCTCTTATGTGAAGGGCAAGCGGAGGCCACTGGAGTGGGGTCACCTTTGTTAAAGCTCCGCCTGGCTGCGTGCGGAGTGAATAGCTCTGGGGTAAGAGGAGGCACCGGCCCCCTGTTGCATCAGGCCAGGTGAGACCCAGCAGCTCAGGCAACAGGTGAACCTGCCTTGGATTTGGTGACAGCAGCGGAGATGGAGAGAAGGGGTCAGACTAGCGAAGTGCTTTAGGGTCGGATCTCTAAGTCTTGCTGATGGGTGAACAGGGAGGTATGGGCCTGGGAGGTATCCTGTGGTGACTGTGTTTCTGGGGAAAGCATGAAGTGTCGTCAGTCACTGAGGTGGCCATGGACATTTTAGTGTGAGGTCCCTGCTGGATGTCCGAGTGGTGATGTCCGAGAGGACACTCATGGGGGGCGGGCATGTAGACGGGAGAGTCATTGGCCTGGCCGGGACCTCAGGCTCTGGGAGTGGACTGAGTCCTCTGAGGGGAAGACAGAGCCAGAGAGGAGACAGTGTGAGGTCTGGCTTAGCCCCTACTCCCACCCTCATCCTGCAGGAGCTGAGCCTGTGGGACCTTGACCAAGCTTCCTAATCTCTCAGTCCCCCTTTCCCCTCCCCTGAATGCTACCTGCCGCATGGGTGGAAGGTTCCTGGGCAGCATATGTGAGCTGCGCTCCATTACTAAGCTGAAGGGGGGAACTCGCCTCCTCCCACAGCACCTCAGAAGAAAGGCCCGGTGGACCCCGCTGTCCTTTGTAGCACACAGGGTTGCCGTGAGGCCGTGCTGACCAGGCGGCAGTGGTTTTGGCTTTTCATGGGGTCTCTATCTAGGACACGTGTGCCCAGCACCGGGGCTTGCAAGTGCTTGGGTGGGAACCTGCGCATTCTGGGAGTCCTCATTAGGGATGTTCCCCAGGCAGAGCCCCCAGAGTTGGGCAGGTCGAGGAGGTATCTCGGGGTGGGCCCTGATGATCCCACCTGCCCACAGGTGCCCCTGGTGATCAAGGCCCTGCAGCGGCTGCTCAAAGACCGGAGCATCCGAGCCCGCCAGGGCTGCTTCACCCTCCTCGCCGAGCTGGCGACTGTCCTCCCTGGCAGCCTGGCCGAGCACATGCCTGTGCTGCTCTCAGGTAGGACGCTCCAGAGCCTGGCCTCTGCCAGGACCCAGGCCCTAGCTCTGAGATGAGCCTTTAGTTAGTCCCCAAGGACTCCTGGTGTCCCAGCCTAGGCCGAGCTCCTGGTCACTGGCCTCTGCTTGCAATGAGAGTCTGCCTGGGGTGCAGGTCCCACCCCCAGGCTCAGATGCAACCCCTGACCTGGCTTCCCTCAGCTCTGGCCACAGCTCTTGAGAAACTCCGTTGGTTCCTGACGCCGGTGGGGGCTGCACTCACCCACGGGAGGTGGCCAGCGCCGTGACCAGAACCTCTCCGCCCACCCGCAGGCATCGTCTTCTCGCTGGTGGACCGCTCCAACTCCTCCACCATCCGGATGGACGCCCTGGCCTTCCTGCAAGGGCTGCTGGGCACAGAGTCGGCCGAGACCTTCCACCCGCACCTGGCCACCCTGCTGCCCCCTGTGCTGGCCTGCGTGGCTGACCCTTTTTATAAGATCGCAGCCGAGGCGTTTCTGGTGCTGCAGGAGCTGGTGCGGGTCCTGTGGCCACTGAACAAGCCTCAGAGGCTGGGTCCCGAGCAGTACATGGGGGAGATGTCGGCGGCCCTCCTTGCGCGGCTCCGTGCTACTGACCTGGACCAGGAGGTGAAGGAGAGGGCCATCTCCTGCGCAGGCCACCTGGTGGGCCACCTGGGTGACCATCTTGGGCACGCACTGGAGCCCACGCTCCAGCTGCTTCTGGACCACATGCAGATTGATGTTACCCGGCTGCCTGCTGTCAAGGCGCTGAGGCTGGTGGCTGTGTCCCCGCTGCGGCTTGACCTGCAGCCCATCCTGGCCAAGGTGCTGCCCATCCTGGCCTCATTCCTGCGCAAGAAACAGCGGGCCCTTCGTCTGGCTACGTTGGCAGCCCTGGATGCGCTGGCCCAGAGCCAGGGCCTGAGCCTCCCGCTGCCCGAAGTCCGGGCTGTGCTGACCGAGCTGCCGGGCCTGGTCAGCGAGAGTGACA